CTTGAAATATTCTTTAGATACTATCTGCACTCCTATGAGATCTCTCATCTCTTTGAATTCAATCCTTCCAAGTGCCTTTGTCAGAATATCAGCCTTCTGCTCAGTTCCAGGAACATGCTCGACAAGAATCTGTTCATTCTCAACACATTCTCGTATAAAATGGTACCTCCGGTGTATATGCTTGCTTCTCCCATGAAATAATGGATTTCTTGTCAAAACTATTGCTGATTTGTTATCTATACACACATTTGCCTTCTCGCATTCTGTTCCTGTGACCTCACCGAGTAACTCTTGAAGCCATATCGCTTGTTTGGCTGCTTCTGTAGCTGCCATAAACTCAGCCTCACATGAAGATAATGCAACAGTCTCTTGCTTCTGAGAACACCAGGTAATCGGACAATTGTTCAAACAAAAGACGTGACCTGAGGTACTCTTGCCATCGTCGATGTCAACATTGTAACTACTATCACTGAACCCAACCAATCCATTCACATCTGCTTTGCCGAAGGTTAAACCATAGTTTAGAGTACCTCGCAAGTACCTTAAGATTTGTTTCATTGCAGCGCCATGGACTCCTTTGGTTCCTGCATGTATCGACTTAGTACTCCAACTGAAAACGCCATGTCTGGTCGAGTGTGAAGTAAGTATCTGAGGCATCCCACGTTTCTTCTGTATTCTTTTTCGTCGATGCTCTTCTCTTCAGGTGCTTTGCTCAGTTTCAAACCTGATTCCATTGGTGTATGAACTGCATTGCAATCATCCAAGCCATTCTCTTCAAGGATTCTCTTAGCATACCTTTCTTGATTTAAGGTGATACTGCCTTCTCGCTGTAACACCTCAATTCCGAGGTAGTAAGTCAATCTTCCTAAATCGCTCATCTCAAACTTTTCTGACATCTCCTTTTTAAACTCATGTATTAAGTTCAAACTTGTTCCTGTAACAAGTAAGTCATCGACATAAACCGCTACCAGCAGAAGATCTTCTTTTCTCTGTTTTCGATATAGTGAGGGTTCCTTGGAGCACTTTATGAAATTCAAACCTCTGAGAATTTCATTCAACTTGTTATTCCAAGCTCTTGGAGCTTGCCTTAATCCATAAAGAGCTTTATGCAACTTATATACTTTATTTTCATTCCCTTTGATCATGAAACCTTCTGGTTTTGTCACATAAACCTCCTTAAGCTCTCCATGTAAGAAAGCGGTTTTAACATCAAGATGATGTACTTCCCACTTGTTAGAGGCAGGTAAGGCAATGATGAACCGAATAGTTTCAATGCGAGCAACTGGAGCAAATACCTCATCAAAGTCGATGCCAAACCTCTGCACATACCCCTTTGCGACGAGTCTTGACTTGTATTTGTTGATGCTTCCATCCGAATTTCGTTTGATCTTAAAGACCCACTTGAGTCCGATTGCTTTTGCACCTTGAGGAAGATCAACTAAAGTCCACGTTTTGTTTTTGGTAATGGATGCTATTTCTTCTTCGCAAGCATCTCTCCATACCTTCAGTTCTTTGGCCTCCTAATAATCCCACGGTTCCTCGTTCATGGACAACAAAAGACGCTCACCTTCTTCTTCCGCTAAATAGCATACGAAATCCTTTAGGTACTCTGGTTTCTTTGTCTGTCTAATTGATCTTCTAAGAGCTGGTTCAACTTGTGTTTCCTCTTCAGTAATCTTCGTGTTCTCGAAATCAGGCACATTAGTCTCCTTTTCTTCGATACTCTCATCATTCGTAGTATCCTCCCTTCCTCTGTTTTCGTCTTCCTCTGTTTCTGTTTCGAGATCGTCGTGATTACTTGAACCAACGAACTGAAGCGTGAAAGTACCTGTGTCATCGTCTCTTGTTTCCTTTGAACAGCTCTGTTGTAGGTGGGCTGAGCACAACCCTCTTTTTGTAATTTTAACCAGGCCCGTTAGCAAATTGGAGAGGCCCAACGAGCTCAAAGAATAACAAGCCCATTCATAAAGTCAAAACGAGGTCGTTCGAAGAGATGAGCTTCCCATAACAAAGGAGCAGCTCGCCACGTCGACGTTGATGAAACAGCTCGCAAGCAAGACATTCCGATAGACGGTCGGTCAGGTCTATCTACCCGGCCGCCCAAGCTACTCTGACCGAGATGTAACCTAATTTGAACACTATAAATAGCCCTGTAACTTCATTTATAACGGAATCCGTAATCTGAAATAGAGATAAAAATTCTCGAGACTTATAATCATAACTCTTACCTCGCTTAGTTATCCTCGTCCAAACAACCCCAAAATATTCACATCGATCTCACCTCTATTTTAACAAGAATCTCCGAGCTCCACCTAGATATATTTACTAAAGTGACCTCGTGTGCGGATACAATACAACAATTGGCGCCCACCGTGGGGCAAAGAGATTTCTTTCTACGCAAAGAGGGGCTCGATAATGTCAGGAATTCAAATCAACGAGACAGCTAGTCTACCCATCTCAACTACAGCCGAGGAGGGACTTCACACGTCACCGGTTAACAATCCAGAGACCTCGAATAGGCAATCGCCAACGATGAATCTTGTGGAAAACGCAACCTCGCACCCAGAAGCGCAAGACGTAAACCGAAGCACACCAGCTCCTGCTGACGTCGCAACATTATTTGCGACAGTGATGGCTCGAATGGAAGAGCTGAATCAACAGACAAGCGCTCGCCTGAACGAGCTCGCCGCGGCACAACTTTCTTGTCAAGCTCAAGTCAGCGTATTACACTCGTCAGAGACCCAAGCCCTAGAGAGACGAGCCCAAAAAATTCAGCGCGTACAGCGCGCCTTATTCGGAGACTCACCCGCACCACCAACTACAGAAAATCATCCAACCTCGAACTGCGATGAGGTGAACATCGGGGCTCCCGAACACGAAACATGTCAGCTTCAAATAAGATACTCACAGCAAGACGAAGAAATGCTCGAAATGAGGTCCAAATTGCGAGCCATGACCTCGCTTGTACATCAAGCTACTAGCTCGGCACCTGAGATCGACCGTGTATTGAAAGAAAGCCAAAGCACACCGTTCACGACCCGAATCACCGATTTCCCGATAAGAACTCAAGTGAAGTTCAATCTCCTGACGTATACAGGCAACTCGGACCCAAGCCAATTCATGACCGCGTTCAGCATTCAAATGGGCCGAGCACGATTCACTCCCGAGGAGAAAGATGCAGGCTTTTGCCAACTGTTCGTCGAAAATCTCAGCGGTGCGGCCCTCATCTGGTTCTCCAAGTTAAAGGTGAACTCGATTGACAGCTACCAAGCATTGTCGACTGCATTCCTCAAGAGGTACATGATGTATATCCAAGAATCCCTTCGGTCTTTCATTGGCAGAAACAATGTGATCGTTTCCTGGATCACCGTGACTGACGAAGCATCGCTGCCAGCTCTTCGGAATGCCCTGCGAATCGATTTGAAGTTTTGGGACAGCCTCAAGTTCAGCAAACCCCGAACTCTCGAAGACGCGCTTCACCGTGCCACCTTATACATCGAGGACGAGGAAGAAAAAGAGATCGCGTCACCAGCAAAAGCGGCGCCGAAGCAGCAACCTCACAAAGAAATCCCAAAACAAGAATATCAGGAACCTCGACAACACCTCGACAATAACTATCGAGGTGACAATCGCCGAGGAGCGACGTACAAAATCAGCACTCAGCAACAACAAAATCGCCAGTATCAAAACCAATTAAACACATGGCAACGAGGAGATCGTGGGGAGACACGACCTTGCTGCGACTATCACAACAAGTACGGTCACCCGACTGCGATGTGTCGTGAGGTACAGGCCTATTTGCTCGCCAAATATCGAAAGGGGGAGATCGCATTAGCAAACCAGCCCCAAAACACCGCGCCGCGAAACAACGAAGCTCGACCTACGGCTCCCACTGAGCAACTTCCACCTCCTCCCCCAACGAACGAGCGATCCAACAAAAATCTTGCAAAGAGAGACCGAGGTAATCAACCTCGAGACGACACTCCTCTGGCATCTCGAAAGAAGGTGTTCTTTATCATGGGAGGCCTATCGACGTGCAACGATTCCGTCAGGTCGATAAAAAAGTACGGCCGCCAGGTCATGCTCGCACAAAAATGGCAAGTCAAAAGCCCCAAGACCGCCGATAGTGATGCGATCACATTCACCGACGCTGACACGAAAGGAGTCGACATGCCACAACGATCCGCTTGTGGTCGAGCTGCGAATCGCAGATTGCAAAGTATCTTGGATACTGGTCGATACAGGGAGCTCAGTCGACCTGATTTTCAAAGAAACGCTTGACAAAATGGAACTGGCGAACCATCACCTCAAGTCCTCGGTTAAGCCACTTACAGGATTCGATGGAGATACGGTCTACTCGATCAGGACGATCAGGCTCCTAGTTTACGCGGCAAAGACGAGCCGCCTCGTCAAATTTGTCGTCGTCGATAAACCCGCCATCTATAACGTAATTTTGGGAACGCCCTGGCTACAATCCATGAAGGCAGTGCCGTCGACCTATCATCAATGCCTCAAGTTCCCAACCGCTTTCGGGGTAAAAACCATTTGAGGCTCTCAGGAGATATCGAGACTCTGCTTCGCCGCTGAGCACAAGCTTCGATTCAAGTCCATGATCCCAGCCAAGGCGTGTCTTACGATTTTACCCGTAACTCAAGCCGATTTGCCAACTCAAGAAAGACCCAAGCAGGAGCTCGTCGTCCAAGTAAACATCGACGAAAGCGACCCCGAACGATGCATAGGAATCAGAGCTGATCTAAAGGAGGAGATCAAGGTTGAGCTCGTACGACTTTTTCGCCGAAATGCATCGACATTCGCCTGGTCAGTAAGCGATATGCCTGGGATCGATCCCTTAATAACAAGTCATGAGCTCAACATCGATCCTACGTTTAAACCGATCAAGCAAAAGCGGAGAAGTTAGGTCCAGAAAAGGTGCAGGCCGTCAATGATGAGGTCGAACGTTTGTCGAAGGCCGGCTCGATCATCGAGGTCAAATATCCAGAATGGCTGGCAAACCCTGTTGTCGTCAAAAAGAAGAATGGCAAACGGCGAATCTGCGTAGACTTCACGATCTCAATAAAGCACGCTCCAAGGATAGTTTCCCCTTGCCGCAGATCGATCGAATCGTCGAGGCAACTGCAGGCAACGAGCTCTTGTCATTCATGGACGCCTTCTCCGGGTACAATCAGATCACGATGCATCCCGAGGATCGTGAGAAGACGTCCTTCATCACCGATCGAGGGACCTATTGTTATAAGGTAATGCCGTTCGGCTTAAAGAACGCTGGTGCAACGTACCAACGACTAGTCAACCACATGCTAGTAAAGTCACTCACCGCCGGTGATCACATCGGCTATCTGCAAGCTTGCTTCACCGTTCTAAATCAATACCAGATGAAGCTCAATCCGACTAAGTGTATTTTTGGGGTAACCTCCGGAGAATTCCTCGGCTACATCGTCACTAAACGAGGAATCAAGGCAAATCCGAAGCAGATCGATGCCCTAATCAATCTCCCATCACCTCGCAACACTCGCGAGGTCCAACGTCTTACCGGCCGAATCGCGGCGCTTAACCGATTCATCTCGCGATCCATAGATAAGTGTCTTCCGTTCTATCAACTCCTCCGAGGCAACAAACGTTTCGAGTGGGATAACAAATGTGAGGAAGCCTTCCAACAACTTAAGGAATACCTCGCCAGCCCTCCAATTTTAGCAAAACCTGAAACGGGCGAAACCCTCTACCTCTACATCGCTGTGTCGAGCTCGGCGGTAAGCGGCGTTTTAGTCAAAGAAGATCGAGGCGAGCAGAAACCGATTTTCTACGTTAGTAAAACTCTAGACGACGCAGAAAAACGGTATCCGACTTTGGAGAAACTCGCGCTCGCGGTCATCATGTCCGCCAGAAAGCTATGACCCTACTTTCAATCCCATTCAGTCGTCGTCTTGACCAATCAACCACTTCGAACGATACTGCACAGCCCGAGCCAGTCCCGTCGCATTGCAAAGTGGGTTGTCGAGCTGACGGAGTATGATATTGAGTATCGCAATAAGACAAGTGCCAAATCGCAGGTCCTCGCGGATTTTCTAGTAGAGCTTCCGCCAGAGCTAATCCAGACCGACCTACCTGATGAGAAGTGGTCCTTATACGTCGACGGATCATCTTCGTCTCGAGGCGCAGGTATTGGCATCCGACTAGAGTCTCCGACGAAAGAGATATTGGAGCAGTCGTTCCGGCTCGAATTTCCAGCCTCGAATAATGAAGCAGAATACAAGGTTTTACTCGCAGGACTTCGTCTAGCCCAAGGTATCGGGGTCAAGAAAATCGAAGCTTTCTGCGACTCCGAGCTCGTTGCCCGCGAATACAGCGGCGACTACGACACCAGAAACGACCGGATGGACTTGTATCTTAAAGCCGTCAAGAACCTCACTGATCGCTTCGAATCTTTCTCACTCACCAGAATTCCGAGGAGTGACAACACCTCGGCAGACGCACTAGCCGCCCTCGCATCGACGTCTGAATCACATCAAAGGCGTGTGATCCCGGTCGAAAGCATCGATTCCCCCAGCATCGTCCTACCTCGAGGAGTATGCGCAGTTCGAGAACTCGAAGCAAACAGATTAGACGCCATCGAATTACCTCCCCTCGAGGTCGTCGATGAGCCCGCCGAACAAGAACCGACAACCGAGGACTGGAGGATCGAAATCTTGCTCTACATTACAGACGGCCAAGTCCCACCCGACCGATGGGCAGCGAGGCGCTTAAAAGTTCGAAGCGATAAATACATTCAGTCACACGGCAATCTTTATCGTTGGAGCTCAACAGGCGCCCTGCTCAATTGTCTTCACGGTGAAGAGACGCTCGATGTCATGCGAGAAACACACGAAGGAGCATGTGAAAATCACTCCAACGGTCGAGCTCTCGCTCTAAAAATCAAGAATCACGGCCACTTCTGGCCAACAATGCTTACCGATTGTGATCGATTTGTAGCTCGCTGCGAACAATGTCAACGGCACGCCCCAATGATCAACGCGCCAGCCGAGCTCCTGGCCACTTCCTCACCACCTTATCCCTTCATGCGATGGGCGATGGACATCGTAGGTCCACTTCCTCGATCTCGACAGAAACGATTCATACTTATCATCACCGATTACTTCACGAAATGGGGCGAGGCCTAATCTTACGCCAAAATTAAGGCAACCGATGTGAAGAACTTCGTTTGAAAGATCATCATCTGCCGCCACGGATTACCTTACGAGATTGTCACCGATAATGGCCCCCAATTTATCTCCGATGTCTTCGAGGACTTCTGCGCCAAATGGAGAATACGACTCAACAAATCTACACCGCGATATCCACAAAGAAACGGCCAGGCCGAGGCAACCAACAAAACCATCCTCGACGGCATCAAAAAGAGACTCGAAGATAAGAAAGGCTTATGGGCAGACGAACTGGACGGAGTCCTATGGTCACATCGAACTACACCGCGACGGTCGACGAATAAAACTCCTTTCTCGTTGTCTCACGGCATGGAAGCTTTAGCTCCTACTGAGGTCAGTCTACCAACCATACGCAGAACGATGTTGACACAAGACGGTAAAAGGAACAGAAGGATGATGAAAGATAGCCTCGACATGCTCGAGGAGGAGCTAGATCACGCCCTATTACGTATGCAAAACTATCAGCAGTAAATCTCACGCTATTACAACAAACGAGTGAAAGGTAGGCACTTCAAAACTGGCGACCTCGTCCTTCGAAAGGTGTTCGAGAATACCGAAGAATACCGCACCGGAAAACTGGGCGCAAAGTGGGAAGGCCCCTACCAAATCACCAACGTTGTAAAACCTGGCGTTTACGAGCTGATGACGATGGATGGCGAAATGAAACCGCGATCGTGGAACTCGATGAACATAAAGCGGTATTACTACTAAAAAAAAAAAAAAAAAAAAAGACGCTCACCGAGCTATACTCGGTCAAGCTAAATCTCGAATGTGAACTACGATCGGCTTGATCCCAGTTTGTTGGGTACGTAGGCAACTTCTCACGAGGTACAGCTATTAATAAAATTTTGTTTATACCAACTTTTACATCGACATCTTTTATTTCGACATCTTTCACATCGACATCCTAGCTAGATGTTCGATCCCCTAATACGCATTTTCCTACAATGCAAACTCTTAATAAGTCCTAAGGAACAAAAACTTTACGATTATAAGAGAATAAGCCGGGACCAGTATCGCATCCTTTCTTAAATCACCCGAATAACTACGTCGAGATCATTCTCACTACTCGGACACGATTAATGAAATAAAACAGGGTAAGCCGAGTCATACCTCACACCTATTTTTCCCTTAAGCCGAGTCATACCTCGCATTTATCGTTCCCTTAAGCCGAGTTTCACCTCGCATTTCGTAACTCGCATCCATTATCCTCTTAGGTCATACCTCGCGCCTATCATTCGTAGGTTTTGTTTAATTAGGTCAAGATTTACCTCGTATCAAGCATTTCGTCTCGAATCTATTGTCATTTAAATTGATAAGATGAGGATATCCGCATTAGTCGTTTTGCTTTACTTAAATATACCTCGTATCTATTATCTTTTTACGATTCAAATTGCGAGCTGATACTTCGGAAAAAGAACATTCATTAATGAGATTAGATCGGGTCCTTACAAACGAGGCAAAATAAGTAAAAAGAAAGAGGCCATAACATATAAGGAAAAGGCGAGTGAGATCTATTCTTCAGGCTGATTGCCTCCCTCGTGGTCAGGCTGAGTGCCATCCTCGCGATTCTCTTGATCTTCAGCGTTGTCATGGTCTGAACCACCGTCCGGAGTCACGGGAAATGGCGGAGGCAAGTCACCTTCCTGCAGATCAGCTAGGCGAAGTCCCTCGAGTTTCAGCTCGCAGTCACGTACGGTCGCCTCATGCTCGACCCTCAACTCGACCTCGGCATGTCGCTTGACGCGAGCTACTTCAGACGCAACCGACTTCTCAGCCTGAATCTTCGCCTCGTTAACCGTTTGAAGATTGCTGATCAGATCCTGATTCTCCAACTTCAGCTCCTCGATCTTATCGATCAATGTCTTCACACCTTCTTCCAACTGCACAGCGCGTCTTTTTTCGACCTGCCACTTCTCTTCAGCCGACTTTCGCCGAGCAATCGCGGCATCCCGCTCTTCCACGGCTCTTTGTCCAGCGGACTGAGCGTTACGAATCTTCGTAGCAGCAGCTCGAATCGTACGATGATATCGACCTCGCGCGCGGTTGCAGCTCGCGATGAACTGATAAGAAAAGTATATATCCATATTAGAGTAAACCCATAAATATGCAAAAATGAACTCTGAATTGTGATATACCTTAAAGGCGAAGCCCGCCATGTCCTTGAAAATCGCGTCGTCACCAGCAGGAACTTCGGAAAGTCGATCCCCTTATCAAGCCGAAGAGCTCGGCACATTTGTCGGCATTGTTGACGAAGGGTGCCCCAGATTCGGGGTATTCGAATTTGAAGCTCCAATCGACCTCGGGAACCTTATCGTCACCAGAGGGACCGACCTGAAGCCTCTTACCAGGCTCCTCGCGATCATCACCTACACCTGCCTCCTCAGAGGATCTCTTCCTCGTTCCCTCCTTCGCAGCCGCTTCGTTGACCTCGACTTGTCTTGCCTCCTCAGCAAGCCGTGCGGTCTCGGCCTCTTCCTTTTCCTTTTTCTTCTTCTCTTTTCCTTTCAACTTCTTCGCCTCCCTCCTAGCGCGCCTCTCAGTTTCATCGGCTTCCTCGGCGACCGGCTGACTTTCCTCCTGAACCGCCACTTCGAGCTCGTTCGTCTGAGCATGGTCCTGGGCAAGGTCGCCGCCTTGCTGAACCTCTACCTCGTCAGTCCCTCGACGTACCGTCGTTTGGGTCAAGCAACCCAATTGAGCAGAGGATTGCTGATTTCTATTTCCCCCGCTCCCACGACTAGCTCTGATCCGCGCAGCGAGACTAGGCGCATTCACTTGAATCGGAGACATCTCAATCGCCCTCTCCCTTAGAAGGTTTTCCCTCCTCAAGCTAGCTGGAACAAAATAATAATTTACATGTTAGACGACGTAAATTACAAAGGAAACGCTGATGACATCGAACCTACCGTTTGTGATACGGGTAATGGCTGCCTCGACTCTTCGACGATGTATATCAGGCCAATGCTGTATCCCAACGGCCCTGATCTGAATATTCACGTGAAAATTCTCCGGGAAAGCTTCGAGCTGGACGTTTCGCTCTGCGAAAAACGAAGAAACATCAATAAAAGAAAGGAAAAACTCGAGATATGACCGAATTAGCGATCTACCGATGCTACTGCTCCAGTCGTTCCTAAAGTCTCTGGTCGTATCAACTACCAGCGCCTCATCCACCTTTGCATAAAAGAAGGACGCCTCCCAGCTCGACGTCCTGTTGACAGGGTAAACCAGGGAACAATCTTTCCTGGCCTTTATCGTATACGTGCCTGGGATCGACTTGTTCTTCTGAACGGTAGTCATCTCCTCGAAGAAGCGCCAGTCGACATCAACCCCGACCTCGCTCCCAAACAACAGAGTCGCGACCATAAACCGGATCCCTGCAGGAAGAATCTGCGAGAAAGCGATACACCTCCGATCGACGTAATCGGTCAACAGCCTCGGCAAAGGCACCCAAAGATGACAGAGACTGAACCACGCCTCGTAAAGCGTAACCCAGCCCTCCAGAGCCCGCCATGGTCGATCCTCAGGTCCTGGCGCCATCAATTCACCTCAAAAACCGTATCGTAACCGAAACTCTTCGAGGCGTTGAGCCGTCATCTGAGACGGAATGTTAACTAACCGATTCTTGATGGCTCCCTTGCGCTTGGAACCTTTTCGTCGAGGTCTGGCTTCCCCGCCTTGTTCTTCTTCCTCGCCTTGTTCTTCTTCCTCGCTTTGTTCCTCTTCCTCGCCTTCATCCTCCTCCTCGCCCCCTTCACAAACCTCTTCTTCGGCGTGCTCAGTAACCTCGCCATCACGCTCCACCAGAGGAACCATTTGAAGATCCGTAGATTCCCCTCACGGAGATGCCCCATCAGAACAAACTCGATCCGCCAACTCCAGCAATGGAGACTCTCCTCGATCTGATTGAGTATCAGACCTCGAAAACATCTCAGGAGAAGAGCTCGCACTCCGAGAAGCTTCCTGTTCGGATCTAGAGCCCGATTCTAAACTCGACTCGATGCGCTGACCCCCCGAAGATATTATTCGATATCGAATAGCGGCAGAAATAAAATGACAAAAGAACGAGTTCTAGAGAGAGAAAGGAATTCTAGAGAGAAGGGAGAGCAAGGTTACCTTTTGTGAACGGAGAAGAAAATGAGAAGAAGAGAGGGAGAGCAGAATATATAAGGAAGAAAAGACAGCGGTTACCGAGGAAGGTAATCATGATCCGGACGCTTCCCAGTATCTTATTTAGTGGCGGATTCCATGCGCTTCCCGAAAATCACGCTCCCACTCGCGACTCTTCACTACCTAAGTCGACTGTTGCTTTTTGCGACTCTTAACTTCCCAAGACGATCGTTGCTTTTCGCAACTCTTCACTTTCCAAGTCGACCGTTGCTCTTTGCTCTTCCCAAGTATCACCTCGACCCCGATAACTCCACATCGATATCGAGGTTCAAAGAAATGAAAATTCTCTGGCTCGATGCGTTGAATATCGAAGTAACATCTCCATCAACGGACTGGGGGGAGACAATTGTTGTAGGTGGGCTGAGCACAGCCCTCTTTTGTAATTTTAACCAGGCCCGTTAGCAAATTGGAGAGGCCCAACGAGCTCAAAGAATAACAAGCCCATTCATAAATCCAAAACGAGGTCGTTCGAAGAGATGAGCTTCCCATAACAAAGGAGCAGCTCGCCACGTCGACGTTGATGAAACAGCTCGCCAGCGAGACATTCCGATAGACGGTCGTTCAGGTCTATCTACCCGGCCGCCCAAGATACTCTGACCGAGATGTAACCTAATTTGACCACTATAAATAGCCCTGTAGCTTCATTTATTACGGAATCCATAATCTGAAATAGAGACAAAAATTCTCGAGACTTATAATCATAACTCTTACCTCGCTTAGTTGACCTCGTCCAAAAAACCCCGAAATATTCACATCGATCTCACCTCTATTTTAACAAGAATCTCCGAGCTCCACCTAGATATATTTACTAAAGTGACCTCGTGTGGGGATACAATACAACAAGCTCCACTTCCAGCTTCTTCTTTCATCAAAGATGACATCTCTGCTTACCACTATCCTCTTGGTCTTTGGATTTAGCAATCGGTAAGCCTTTGAACCTGGTTCAGTTCCCAGATGAACCAGTACTTGAGATCTATCATCCAATTTTTTAAGATGAGGTACTGACATCTTAGTATACCCGATGCCACCAAAAACTCGCTGATGTTCGATATTAGGATTTCTCCCCTTGAAAGCTTCATATGGTGTTTGTAAGCTCAATGTTTTTGTTGCAACTCTATTTATGAGATATGTAGCATGTCTTACTGCTTCTCCCCATAAATAGTTTGGCACTTTCATATGCTTCATCATGCTCCTTGTCATCTCTAAAAGAGTTCTGTTTCGCCTTTCTACGACCTCGTTTTGTTGTGGACTATACGGTGCAGTCAAGTGTCTTTGTATCCCTGTGTTTTCGCAGAATTCTTGAAATTCTTGGGATGTGAACTCTCCACCACGATCAGTTTGGAACGTCTTGATCTTTGTTCCTGTCTCTTGTTCAACTATTCCTTTGAATTTCTTGAATCTGCTGTAAGCTTCACCCTTTTCTTTCAAGAGAATCGACCACATATACCTGGAATAATCATCAATTAAGACGAATATGTATCAGTTTTGTGTTGCAGTTGCAGGTGTAATGGGTCCACACAGATCTCCGTGAATGAGTTCGAGTGTACGTGTTGCTCGATACGTAGTTGCTTGGGGAAAAGATTTCTTGATATGCTTGCCAAGTAAACACGATTGACAAGTCTCTTTCTCGACTTTTAGACTCGGTAAACCAATGACCAAGTCCTCCTTGACCATAGTCTTCATTGTCTCTATACCGACGTGTCCTAACCTTGCGTGCCACTTAGATGAATCACTTATTGTTTGTATATGTAAACACTCTGTATTCTCCACCTCCATTCGTACCTTGTACAACCGGTTTCGCGATCTTGTTGCCTTCACCAACACTTTACCATCCTGATCGGCCAAGGTTAAGTATTCATCTTTCATTCTAACATCACAACCCGATTCTGTAGCCTGTCCTAAGCTGATGATGTTGCTCTTGAGATCTGGTATAAAGTAGACATCAGCTAGTACTTTTCGTTCCCCATCTTTAGTCACAAATAATATTGAGCCTTTTCCTTTGATGTCAACGCGAGAGTCATCTCCAAATCTTACTTTCCCTGTGATTTTATCATCAATCTTAGCGAAGTAGCTTCGGTTTCCTGTCATGTGATTGCTAGCTCCATTGTCTAAGTACCATATATTTTCATCATCACTTGAAGTTTCGAAGTTGCTTGGTTTCACGTTCTTCTCGTTAAGGAACACCACTTCATGAACCATTAGCTTCTCTGCTTCGTGAGTATCATCTGCATCGGTTTCTTGTGCTTCTTGTAACTTAAAGAGCCTGTCTGGGCAATTTGAGGCGAAGTGCCCTGACTTGTCACACCTGTAGCACACTATCTTTGACAAGTCCCTTGCCTCGTTTGCCCTTCCTCGTCCTCTTCCTCTGTTATAGAATCGTCCTCCTCGACCTCTGCTTCTATTTTCATTGGAATAGTTCCGATCTGTCTGTGCTTCTGTATTCGCATACATTAGTTTGTTCTGATTCTCTTGAGTTTCCTCTTCCTCTTCATGGATTCGTTCTTCATAAGCCTTTAGACGTCCTACGATATCCTCGAAGCTTGTAGCATTAAGGTCGAGTACTTGTTCAAGCGATGCTACTATGTGTATGTATTTCTTCCGAGGAATACTCTTGAGAAACTTCTTTACCACCTTAGATTCTTCAAAATTTGTTCCCAAGGCTGCAGACTTTGAACAGATTTCGGCCAGCTTGCCGCTGTATTCATCTATGGTTTCGGTGTCCTTCATCTTCAATCGATCAAAGTCAGCCATTAGGGTTTGTAAGCGTGCTTCCCTGACTCTCTGCTCCTGCGTTCCTCGTTTTGACTGCGTCCCAAACCTTCTTCGCTGTATCTAACTCTCCGAGTTGTAAGATAAGCGTTTCGGGTATGGATTGGAAGATGAGGCCCATTGCTATGTCGTTTTTCTCTCCATCGTCTGATCCGGTTTCCACAACTTCCCAGGCCTTGTGGATTTTTAGAAGAACCCTCATTCTTAACGCCCAAACAGTATAGTTTGTAGAATTAAGCATAGGGCATTGTATCGTTGATGTGCTTATCTCCTTAGGTCGAGTAACTGGAACGATGTCTCCCATGATCAACTATCTTCGTATTCGAACCTCTTTGCTTTGGATCGCTGGTTTTCTTAGCTCTGCTACCAAATATTGTTTGAATGCCTTAGATAATAAGATCACCAAAATAACTTCTTCTCTTATTGCTTTAGAAAATAACTCAAAACTAAAGCTCACAATCTCTTAAGGGATGCTACAACTTTAACAACTCCTTATATAGGAATAGATAACTCTTAAACCTAATAGAACTACAAAATAGAATATTTCCTAAAATCACTTATTATTCCTAAACACAACTTAGTTAGGAATTGGATAACTTGCTCTTCAAGTTTACTCTAACAGTCTTGACAGAACTAAACCCCAAATTTCCGAGCTATATTCACAAGACAGCAGGATGAGTAGTTGGTGAACAAAGGCAGTTTCATTGCTCTTGGTTATACTCGTTTTCTTTTGTTGTTAACATTATCAATTTTGGTCCGAACTAATGACCAACCCCTCAAAATATGACTAAAATGCGAATATAATGGCAATTAGATGCATTAAATAAAAATATTTTGTGCAAAAGCTTAGATGGTATATAATTAATACAAGCGGTTTTGAATGAGTTTATGGATGCAATTTCAAACCTAGCCAGAATGGTGGATACATCTCAAGATAACAACCAGAACATCGAAAGAGATGAAAGCTAGCTACCAAGAAAGGAAAATCCTAAATGATAGTCTAAATGAAGAAATAGAAATCTTAAATAAAATTAAGAACATAGTACGTAACAAATTGGGAATCAAGAGTAATGGACATACCTCTTCTTGCTGTGGATGATCCAAGTTGAAGCTGAATCCGACCCAATATTTTTTTTAATAAAGCTTCTCTGAATCATCACTATGCTTCCAAATTAATGTTCCGTTTTTTGTTCACGGGTAATGAACAACATCAAACGGCAAATGTATCAGTTATTTAATTTCCACAATGTTTCAACCACTCTAATCCTAAAAGCCCATCATTATTGAGTAAGTGGTCCCGTTCCTTGGTGCCAAAAAAAGGAACACGAGTCTTTCTTTGCCGTAACGATTAACGACTGATTAAGAGGAAATGGTCTACAAAAGGATATCCACTAGAATGTTCTAATTTGACCAACGATTTGCGCCCACATGGCAGCCTTTTTGGTCTCTCAAGTCTCAACGTTCAAAAGCCGACTCTTTCCTCAATTTTCTATGAATTATCATCAATCTTTCGTTAAAATAAAAAAGGTCAAAATTTTATAGAATTGCGTAAGAAAATCGTCACGAGTGTTTCAGTGTTTCTGACACGTAACCACCGAAGACACCGTCCTTCTCCCTTTCTTCACGTTTGTTTATAAACAAAGACATAAGATAAAGAAAGAGTCGTCTCCTCTGTAATAAATATCTCAAAATCAGATAACCCACATAGATTTAGTTCTCTGTCTTCGCTTCTACTTAACACACAACTCGTGTCCTCAACACAAGTTATAAACAACAAGTTCTTTGTTTCAGAGCCGTTTTGTCGCAGGTTTGTGCTGAAATATGGAGAACAAGACCAATAAAGGAAGCGAGGATGGTCCGAAACATAGCCAGGTGGTGAAGATAAAAAGAGAGTTTGAGAAGATAAGTCAACCATCGCTGCAGCAGCCGGAGATGAGGAGGCTCCTTGGCGAGTTCACGAGGCGTCAACGTTCACGTTCTCCTCTCGGTTTAGGAGAGAGATCTATTTCCGTTGGGAATTGATCTATGTTCGCTTTTGTAATAGAGAGAGAGAGAGAGAGTGAGAGAGAAGAAGAAGAGGAGGTTCCTAATAGATAGTTGCAGGGTTTTGTTGTATATATGCTTTCTTCCATGTAAATACTCTTTTGGTTTGAATATATATGATCGATGAATCTCCCTTAAGAGTGCTTCTTCAAACAAAACAAAAACTCTTCTACTGAAACACACCAAACCATGGCATGATGTATGAATCTGAATTTACATGACATATTTGTGAGATATGGTCGCTATAAACTGTAGAAAACTCCTTGAGACAACAAAAAAATATTATTGATTCGACCAGCCAGAGAACTCAAAAAGCCTTGAAAAAAAGACTTATTGTGTCAAAGACGATCCAATTTGAAGCATTAGAGGATAAACTGGACTGAACTCTTTGTCACCTCTCGACCTGATCTTCACTGCATAGTCATCCAAAGTCGCTTTTATCCCTTTCCAGATCTGATCCTCTCCTTGGCTATCAAGCCACAGTGAGTACTGCTTAGGACTCAATCTGTTCTTCTGCATCGGTGTCTCTAACTCATCTGGGCCTCTCGTGTAGAGATGATGGAGAACGATGCTCGGTGGTAGATCCTGGATCAGAGGGGATGATCCAACTTGAGATGTTTCCAGGAAAACCAGTGGCCTAAATGCTCTGAGAGCTCTGTACGGTGCACCGAGTTGTTCCACAGGGAACAGATTCTGTCCTACCGCTAGTTCCAGCTCGGCCATGTCTCTAGCCATCCTGAGTTTTCCCCATTCTGATAGTGGCCGCACAAGGGAAGCGTGCCTGATGTAGAAGATCAGAACCCTTGAAGCCATTTCTCTTGCGAGTCTAGTGCAGATTGATTCTGTCCCTGCAGTGTTAGCCGTTGCTGCGGAAGGCAATAGTCTTGATAGGAACTCCTTGCGGAAGTGAAGAATCGATCTCTGCAACTCCTCCATGTACGGGGAGGTGTTGTTGTCCAAGGCAGCGTCGTCAACACCAAAGTTTTGGTCATGGATTTGAAGAATGCATGACTCGAGCTGGTCTTGCATTGCTTTGAACAATGGTGTAACTGGGTCGCATGCCGCAACATATATCGCACTCAGACAATGAGACAATACATCAGAAGCGATACTGGGTAGGTCTGCTACCATGGATGAGATATGCGTGTGGATTCCTTGCAGATGCTGACATAATGTGAAGTTCCTGATCTGTGTTGAAGTTGCAGGACCTGTTATCTGGCGCGTCTCAGGGCCTGTAGAAATCTGCCATTTAAATAAAGCTGCGTTAAATGTCAAACATAAAAGCATACATACTGGTCTAACTCTTTACTGGTTAACCCTGATTATTATATCAGCTAACACGTATATATACGCATAGCAGAGGCTAATGTTTTCCTTCATTTCTGTCTGGTTTGTTACAAGGATATTATGACATTCTACCATTTACATTTCCATGCAACCTTATGCATTCGTAAGTAATGAATATGCATTGTACTCAAGCAGAATTTGATGCCATACTCTAGGGACTTAATAGAATCCATACTTAGTATTAGATACCAATAACCACCAATTGAGAAGAAAAATAGAAGATCGAAGAAGTTGAAGATACCTGGCACTCAGCTCGTTGAGCTAGGTTACTAAGGGCCTTGCCTATCTCACGCAAGACTAGAAGAGTCAAACGACCATCTGGATGAACAGCCTCAATCTCTTCTTGAATGTGTGATAGTACCTGTGAGATCTGTTCTTTCGAAGGTAAACTCCCGCGGCTAGACATAGGGAATATCGAGTTCACAAGATCTGACAACCGGCCAAAGCATAGTGATAAGAAAGCAGTCTGGAATATTGCAATGCATGAAACCATTTGTTCTTTCCTTTCTGAATCAATGGCAGGTAACACTCCTTTCACATCGGTGTCGCGAGATATTCTTTCAAGAAGATTTTCAATCATAAACACGAGCTTCGGATATCCCACGGTGAATATTTCTTTTACAAAACTCGAAGCTGTGAATGCAGACTTCATTTGGCTAGTAAACGCCTTCACAAGTGCATCCCAGACTCTGTCGGTTAACATAGAATCACCTTCCTGTGCATTTAAACACTTCATGTCAGCAATAAAACCAAATCAAAAATGCTGGAATCTAAATTAATCAATAGCCCTGACACCACAGAAACACATTCCAAAGCTTCCTCCTTGGTGCAAAAACAAGGAAAGATCGTCTTTTAAAGTTGATCAAACATCAATCATGCTCGCAAAAAGTGACAAAAATCTTCTCAACCACATCCCAGAACACTCTCTCTTTCTCCTACTTATCGAATGCAGCTTAAACTAACTAGTTAACTCTGGGAGCTTAAATTTCAAGTAAAGTTTCAGTTGTTCCTTACCTTGATGACTTCATCAAGAAGAAGGACATGCGTAAATGGATCTCTCTTCTTCGACAGTACACGCTGCAAGTGCCACACAGCGACAACAAGTGAATTCAACTGCTCCATACAGCTCGCCATCCTCTGCCACATCGCGTCCCTAGTCTTAGCCCCACCGCCAATGTGCGGTGCTCCGCTAGACCTAATCCCTCCCGGACCAAACCCACCACCCGAGCCAGAAGAAATCGCTTTCATATCCATAGCAACGCTCACACTCTTCACGGCCATGCCCTTGTACTTGTTCACCAATTGATCCACCGTATGCTTCAGCTCTCCAAGGTTATAGAAAACCTGCAATCCAGTTCCCACTTCCGCCTGATTCAACCCTTCCATGCCTCTCTCCAACACCTTCATCGCCTCAGATCTCAATTTCTCCCCAATCTCGTTGACGAACTTGATTTCCTCGTCGATAACGTCAATGCCGAACAGATCGTACTCTTTACACATCGTTAAGATCTCGAAATGGAGCTGTGCAGCTTTCGTGAGGTCGATTTTCTCTGGATCCGAAGAATCCGTGAGATCGCGAAGCTTCTTCGAGAGCCGTAGCGTACGGACCGAGTGAGAGAGTAACTCGGCAGCGGAGTGGAGATTGGATAGCTGAACAGATTTGGATCGGATCGATCGCACAGGCTCGGATAGATCTGATCGGACGCGGCGGATAGATGACTGAAGAGAGGAGACGGAAGAGCGAAGGGAGGAGAGAGAGATCTCGGCTTGGGAGAGAGAAGAAAGCTGGGAGAGCAATTCAGGGTGGCGAGAGACAACATCGTGACGGAGCTGCGAGTCGAGGAGACGGATGGCTTGGTGGAGACGCTCGGCGGTGGAAGCTGGAGATCCAGAGGCGAGTGCGGCGGAGGAGAAGGATGCGGAGGAGA